CCCCAAAACCCCAAAACCCCAAAACCCCAAAACCCCAGTTGATTTGATTACTTGCAAAATAAAGGAAATAACAATAAGTATCAAAAGCATTTTTGTTCACTCTTTTACAATAATATTTTCCAAATCATATTCGATATTTGCTAAGTACAATCCCTAAGGAGGAGCCTAAGTCTTTTGATTCCCAAAAAATTTATTTGAATATACTGTCTAATCTCCCTTGAGGAGATTAGTAATTACATCAGGTGATATTTAGTTTTAGGCCATTAAGACTAGGTAATTCATCATAATTCTGATTTAATGCCACATAAAAGATCTTGACTTGATCTCTGTCATTAAAACAAGACTGCCGTCACTCATTCTTGGATCTAATTCCATTTCAGGTGGTCTAACACTAGCATTCATGCTTATGATAGTTCTATAATAGTCATGGGGATCTGGCTAAAAGTTAATGACAAGTTGAATTTACTTCATCTGCTTTGAGTCTGACAAAATGCTTGAAACAGTGATATCCCTCAAATAATTTGCAACCTAGCTTAAATTTCTCTAAGTCAATGGAGTTTCTATCCACCTCCCAAGCTAAGTTTCTGTATAATTGGCTATACTTCGATCTGGAGTGCCTAGCGTTATCTGTTAGCAATATCTTGTAAACATAGGTTCTACAATAGTTGATGATAATGTCGATGATTAATGATTATTTACCTAGAAATAGGCGCACCTCGGCAATCAAATCTAGGTTCTTTTAACTGATACAATTAATTCACTTGCAACTATTCTCCATTTGCAGCAAAGTGGTTATTGAGACCTCTCCTTAATGACTCAGCAGGGTACTCCTTTCTGTTTTCATTTTCGGCAGCATCAAATGTAAATGCATTCATAAGAGCGTGTACACCTACATCAGTCCGACTAGACCCTCTTACTTTAGGTATTATATTAATACTCTCTTTTTTGTTAAATCTTTTCAGGCCTTCCTATAATTTGTGTAAATATTGTGTTAAGTATAATATATTTAGGCATAGTTATCAAGTACTTTATTACCTCTATGATTTCTAGTATTCCCTTTTTATTTATGTGCTCGACTGTTTTATCAGCAAGCATACCTTAATAATTGGTGCCCATATAAGAATAAATTCCTAGATAGCGTTTAGGAAGTATCAATTTAGAGCCGTTCATTAAATTCCCCCTTAAATTAAATAATAAATAAAAGTCTATTGGTTGATTAGGTTTAAATGCATATTATAATTTTAAATTTGAATTAAATTGTTGTCTTATTAAAAGTAAAAATATGTACATCCTCGAAATCACTCTGGACGGATTTAAATCCTATTCAGTCCGCACAGTCATTGACAGTAAGTGCTTTTCAATAAATTATATATTCAACCTTAAGTGAATAATGCTAGAAAAGTCTGACATTTTTCATAATTATAGAATTTAAAACATTTGCTTAAAATATTATAGAGTTTGATCCTTAGTTTAATGCAATTACTGGACTAAACGGAAGCGGGAAATCAAATATATTGGATGCAATATGCTTTGTGCTTGGTATCAGCTAGCTAGCCAACGTTAGAGCAGAAAAACTATAAGAGTTGGTCTACAAGCAAGGAAACTCAGGTGTGACCAAAGCAACAGTGACCATCACCTTTGACAATTCAAATAAGGATCAATCACCTCCAGGCTACAGCGACTTGAATAAAATCTCAGTCACTCGTACTGTCGAAAATCAGAAGTCAAAGTATTACATCAATGGTAGCACCTCTACTGCTGAAAAGGTGAAGAGTCTTTTCTGCTCAGTTAAATTGAACGTCAACAATCCACATTTCCTCATCATGCAAGGTCGTGTGACTAAGGTTATCAACATGAAGCCAATGGAGATACTTGGACTAATTGAGGAAGCAGCAGGTATCAGTCTGTATCAAAACAAAAAGGATCAGACAATGGCGCTAATAAGAAAGAAAGACGCCAAGCTCTAGGAAATTGACAAGATTCTTGAGGACGATGTGAATCCTCAGTTAGAGTAATTGCGCAAGGACAAGGAAGAGTATGCTCTGTTTAAGAGTAATGAAGGCCTGATCCAGGAAAACGAGAAGATCCTTGTTGCCTACGAATACTTTGACATCCACAAGTTCTTAAGCGGCAGTGATAGAGAACTTGAGAAGAAGAGAAACGAGAGACTCAAGTATGAACGAGATATTACTAATAAAACTCAAGAGGTTGAGACTCTTAAGGTCTAGCTGTCCCAGATATAGAAGCAGACTAACTCAACCAAGGAAGAGGAGACTCTTAAGAGACAAATTAATGGTATTGAGAAGAGCATTCTGACTGAGAGTCTAGAAATGGAAAAACTCTAAAACTCTGAGAGGGCATTCTTGCTCATTTAAAAAGAGGCTCAGACATCAATCGATAAACTCCAAAATGAAATAAATAAACTTATAAAGAAAATAACTGACATTGATAGTGAAAGTCTTGGCCAGATTGAAAAGGATATCGAGCAGAAGAAAGACTAGATAAGGGATCTTGAGAAGGAAGTCAAGATGATCAAGGAGGGAAAGGATAACAAGGGCTCTGCTCAGGAAGCTATCAACAAAGCAATGTATGAAGTTGAAAACCAGTTATAAAATATTAAGAACAAAAGGACACTCTATCAGAATGAGATTAAGTTAAAGACTAATGTGATCAATGATGCAGAGAAAGATTTCTCTCGCAGACAGAATGAATCGAAAACCTTTGAGAAGGACATATAAGTCATCAAAGCAGAGATATAGAAGATCGAGAGACAGATAGATGAAAAGAAGTATGAACTAAGTGAGTATCAGAACATGAGGGAGGACAAGCACAGAATTGAGCGCTAAATACACGAAATAGAAGGTGAAATTAATAAAATGGGGCAGGTCTCGAATCTCTATCATTTCAACTACAGAGTGCCACATGAATAATTTGATAAAAGATTGGTGTGCGGCAAACTACTACAGCTATTCAAGATCCAAGATTCGAAGTATGAGCAGGCATTGGAAGCAGCAGCTGGTGGTAAACTGTACAATGTAGTAGTTCAAAATGAAAGAGTTAGTAAGGAACTCATATAAAATAAATGTGTGGGCTATAATGTTACCTACATTCCACTTAATGTTATAAGAAGTGACACTCCTAGACCAGATATTGTTTAGAGAATTAAAGAACTCACTCAAGGAAAGGCAAGACTAGCCAAGGAGCTAATAGAATACGATCCTAAGTTTGAACCAGCTATGAACTTCGCATTCGGAAACGTGGTAAGTTTTATTGTCAAATCAAATACATATAGTTTGTTGCTGATGATGAAGAGACAGCAAAGAAGGTGTCCTTCAACAACTTTGCCAAGTTTCTATGTGTAACTCTGAAAGGTGATAAATACAACCCAATGGGTACTTTAGAAGGAGGTTATCAGAGAAATGCCAGCATGCTGAGCTAGATTGAGAAGTACAGAGTATCCAATGAGAAAAGGTCAGAATTAGCTATGAATAGAGACGAATTAGACAAGAAAATGAAGAGGGTTGAATAGACTTGTAAGTGTTTTATGCTAATTACTAAAATATAGAACAATTTGTGGATAATTTGAAGCATTAAATGTAACTCAAGCAGCATGAATATAACTTGAAGGAGTAAAGGGCAAGAGAGTATCAACAAGATCCTATGGATAGTTAAAGATTAAAGGCTTTGCAAGATGAAGTTGAGGATTTGAAGGAAAAGATTAATGAAATCGGCAAAAATGAAAAAGAATTGCTAGCAGAGATTGCTAATTATAAGCAAGAGATCAAGAATCTTGATAACGCCAAAGGCAATGACAAGGAAAAGTACTTTATAGACAAGATAAAGCAATCACAATAATAAAGAGATGCCCTTCAGAAAAAGTTGGCTTCGATTAGAGATTAAAAGAACACATATGAGATAAAGATTGATGAGAATAAGTAAGAAATAGCTTAGTACACGAAGAAAGTTGAAGATGAACAGAAAAGATTGCAAAAGGAGATAAGTGATATGCCTAACCTGAGTAATTCTTTGATTTAAAATCAGAAATTGCTTGAATAAAAGAGAGCGGAATTGGAAAAATGTGAGGGTGAGAGAGCTAAGGCCAACAAAGACTTAGAAGTTCTGACTGATAAGAAATTAAGAAAAGAGAAGGAGATTGATGGGCTCTAGGTTGAGTTGAAGGATCACAACATATTTATGAAGAAGTATGAGTAGAAGATTAAAGATTATGAAAATGCTATGAATGAGATGCTAGGCCAGCATAAATGGATTGAGCAGGAGAGAGACTTCTTTGGGGTAGCAGGTCATAAGTATCACTTTGAGAAAATTAATATGAATCAAATCAGAGATGAGACTAGACGTATCAAGGATGAAAACGATGGACTCAAGAAAAGAATCAATCTCAAGGTCGATGCTATGTTTGAGAAAACCGAACAGCAGTATCAGGATCTACAGAAGAAGAAAGAGACTACTATGCAAAATAAGGCTTAATTTGAGGCAACTATTGCAGAGTTGGACGAACTGAAGAATGTAGAGGTAGAGAGAACCTATAAAGCTGTTAACAAATACTGTTCAGAGATATTCTCGACTTTGCTTTAGGGAGCAATGGCTAAGTTAGTACCTCCTGAAGGTAAAACAGTGCTTGAAGGACTAGAACTCAAAGTAGGTTTCAGCGGCTCTTGGAAAGAATCTTTATCAGAGTTAAGTGGGGGTTAGAGATCCCTGCTTGCACTGAGTCTCATTTTAGCATTATTGAAATACCATCCAGCACCTCTATATATCTTAGATGAAATAGATTCAGCTTTAGATCTCTCTCACACTTAGAATATCGGTATTATGATAAGAAAGTTCTTCCAGAATAGTCAGTTTATCATTGTGTCCTTGAAGGAGGGTTTGTTCTAGAATGCCAATGTGCTGTTTAAGGTCTAGTTTGTTGACAGCAGGTCAACAGTCAAGAGATTCCAAGTCAGGAAGGGCAATAGTGGTGGCAATGAAAATATGAATGATCAATCTATGATGATTCAACAGAGTAAACCTAGTAACAATAACAAAAAGAGAGGAAGAGGTGGCAAAAATGATGATGACGATGATATGTCATTTTGAGAGTATAGAATTTGGATAATATATAATAGAAATATTTTCAATAATTTCTTTTGATTTCATTAAATAATCTTATCATTGTTTTTGGGGTTTTGGGGTTTTGGGGTTTTGGGG